ACAATAAAAATCCAACGCAGAAGGTAAATGTAATATTTGTATGTACATATCTGCTTAAACTCTTTGATTGTCCATTGAGCTGCCTAAAATTTCGTTGTAAATAAAAATTTAATCCAGTCGCTAATAAAGATTAAATTCGATTTTATGATTCGTTAAACCTGTCTGGCGATCCGACAGTGGAGTGGTGGAGAGCAGTTTTCTTATTCGCTTTGACAGATCCTACCACCTGGGGCATTGACGTCAAAGTGAGATTAAAATTCAAAATTTTGAAATTTGGAATAATTAATTGTTTCCTGTCTCAAGAAAAATGGAGAATCTAGTTCAGATTCGGTTATATTAAATGGCATGTCCAAGTAGCTACACCCTCGAAGAAATTTAAATTGACGAACTTTATCCTTTACCTTGAATGATTCTGAAATACGTGGTTGTAACACTTTGAGGTACTTCACTATTTTTACAAGTCACGTGTATTGTTACGATAATGACACCTAGAAGGCTTAGTTAGGATGGGAACTTCACACGGAACGCCATTAAGCGTTTATTCGAAAGAGCAAGAATGATATATATATAACGTTAAGATGGATCTTGGGGAGACAATACGAAAGTCGGGTTGGAGAGAAGCAGCGCGGGATCGCTTCCAATGGCAGAATTCTGTTAACTATTAATACTATTAAATATTCATTTTCTGCTATCATGCGATAGGTCATTATTATTCGAATATTCGTTGCACATACTGAAGATAACCGCGATAAATATCAATTAGACATCCCGTAGCTCAGCTGAGATTCGAACCTCACACCACCCGAATGAAAATCCAGACTTTAAAGCCGTGCTCAGTCGCGCTACACCACGGCTCGATTCCTGCGTCTGGGACGCCTGTACGTTTGCTATCCCGCTCTGCAGCGAAATGCAACCCGCGCCACAAACCATCAGATGATACAAGATACGGTCTTCTGGGATGTCAGCCACGGTAGTTCGCTAGATAACCTATTACAAGGATCTGAGGTTTTCACAGCGGTGACTATGAAGAATGCCGTGTTCTGGTATGTGGTTCAGTATAAGTCTTGTGTGAACCGACGTTTCGGAGGAACATATCACCTCCATTTTCAGGGTAGAAAAATCCGCGAGCGAGGAACCAACGTGAGTAGGTGGTGGCAGTCTGCAGCATTTTTCAACTTGTTATAAAGCTGGAAAAATCTAGTTTCCTCGAAACGTTGGTACTTATACACCAAACTAGATGGTGTCACATTTTAGAAAACCGTAATCTTCATATTTACAGCCGTGATCCTAGAGCACTTCACATAATGAATGACATATGGTATGTGTTTCTGTCGTTAATTTCTCAGTGAAATAATATTATGTTGTAGCATCCTGTTGCACTTTTCGCTTAGTTTCGATTAGTTTTTCTTCTTTTTTTTTTTGCAGTCTCACGTACAACACTATGATCTATAAGATCCATTAAAAGTTATTCAATTACAAATTTAAAAGCCCATCACTACATGTTTCGATCAATGTGGTCATCATCAGGTGTTAAAATTTTTGGGCCAGGAAATTTCTGTCTTCTGTTGTTCCTCATGTTTTTAATATAAGTTCCCTCAATGAGCATGTGCGTTTGATTTGGTGAGTTGTGTGTTGTGCTGTGCGTCTTGTTCTCAAATGAGTCTCAGTAAAATATTTCCATTAATTACGAGAGTAGTGTTAGTGAAATAGGCCTACTTTGACCAATATTTTTGAGAATAAAAAAATATTTTAAATAAGAAGCTACATATAAAACTAGCTGAAGAATAAAGAGTTGTATCTTGTGGGATATAACGTCGTGTGGTGTTCTGCAGTCAACCGAAACAGCTGGTAACTCTCAGCAGGCTAGGCAACACCATAATCCAGAAGATAAAATTCTTTATAACCACCGCTGTGAGAGCCTATACCCTAGAATTTGAACTCTTTTATTCAATGACAACAGTTCTTTTGTGGTTTCATCACGAAAATCTTTTATGCATTTAAGGAACGTTTAACGAAGCTGTTCGTAGTGTAGAACACAAGGTGTTGAAATGTAGGACAATTAATTAATTCTGAATTGAAAATGACGTGGACGAAAGCGATCGTGGCCTAATTTGAGGCACTACCTGAGCCCTTGTCTGGAGAATTGAGAACAATCACGAAAATTTTCAGTCAGGTTAATAGGTGTCAGGGCAGCAATTCGAATAGTGCAGCTTAGGAATGCAAGTTAGACGTGTTACCGCTTGAAGCAATTTTGCTCTGTCATCTCGTAGCTCTCGGTAAAACTGTGCACTGGAAAATGTTAAAAAGTCGTTACGTGACACATCCTTCCATGTGGGAGGATGCAGATTAGCCTCAGCACAGGCTGACAAACTTTGAAAGAGATCAGAGGGACAGGTTCCTAGAAAATCTGGATGTTCATTATTGCATTTTGATCGTAGGGCGGACGGCGTTCAGAACTGAAGGAGTGGGCTATATAAGAGCCAATATCGGAAAAAATTAATTGGGTTAATTTCAAATTACCTCTCTATTCGACAGACTATAGTAAAATAGCTAGTTTGATTGTTTGAAACACGGAAAAAAAAATACAGCTCGGTGACTGCAGGAAGTTGTGCGGTCTGCCGTCTGAATGGGGGATTCATTGGCTCTGTTCTCGGAAGAGATGGAATATTGCGAATTCGATTTTAGTAAAAAATATATAAAATTAACACAAAATGGTGTGTTTATGCGTATATGTCAGGATTGCATAAACTACAAACAATATAATTTAAATTTTATAAGAATATAAATTAATGTGTGAGATTTGAGATTTTCGCGAAGCTACAGGTTTAAGGCACGTATTGCTTTTGTGACGCGCGGCATTCTGGTAAGTACAGGTAGTTACAAAAAGATTTCTAAACAAAATTCTGCCTCCATCTTCAGAGTTCATCCAAAATAATTGTAATAACCTGCAAACCATATGTTACCATATCCCAGAATATAACTACCACGTATATAAAAAGTAATGTAATGGTCTGTAAGAAGGGAAAGTTGTTCCTGTGCTTAACTAATTAAGCACTATGCTATGAAGGCGTATGGGGGACTATATGTATAGATCCACATTTTCTTGAACTCGGCACTAGTTGATGGTGAGTCGTAATGTCTGTATCAGGAAAAAATATATTTTTGTCTAACTATCTCTCAGCGATCTGCGCTAGCTCCAGCTACTCGTGTTACAGGAAACTTTTCCACTTTTCTTGTTCCTTTTATATAAAATATTAGCTTTTATTACATCTGAATAAAGCGACAAGAGAAGCAGAGTCGAAGATCTAACCCCTGCAGGATCTCTGATATTGTTCTCTTTATGATAAAGCCCAGGAAAAGTCTTGATGAACATTCTATCTCCACTTCAATAGGTTAAATGTGTTCAGGGTGTGGCATTAAAGCGCCTTTTGTCTGATGCGTCTCATTCACTCAGTCTGCTAATGAAGTATGGAATATGTGGAGGTTTACTTCTATGCTCCTCTATACCTTTTACGAGGTAGTATTTAAATACTGGCCTGTCACGGCAGCCGAGCGGACTGAAGCATATAATCTCTTCGCTCGCTCGGAAGCCAGGATCGTGGTTTCGAATCCCACACAAGGCATGGATGTTTGGTAGGTGTATGTGTTTTTTTCTGTATTTGTGTTTTCCTACGTTTAGGTAGAGGCCTTTCGACGAACATGTCTCTCGCGTACAAGGAGTCCTACCGCCTGTAAAATTATCATGAAATTGAAAATCAAAGGCGAGTGCCCAAGGGGGCTGTAGAGCCAGTGAAAAAAAAAATTAAATATAAGAACAACTGAAAATTTGCAATGGAATCTGTCTGAGACAGAGCTTAATTTTGAAGGAGACGTAACAGAAAATACATGTCGACAGTTTTACCTTCTAGTGCTACAGGTCTTGGGTGATTAAGTTAGAATATATAGGCCTACCTGAAGAGATAAACTAAGGGTTAAGAAATATTTTGATACTGATTTTTGTGAGAGATGAATGTTTTGCTTATTACTTTTGTTACTTTACCCAATATGTATGATTATTATTATCTATATCAGTGATTCTCAAACCTTTGCATCTTGCGTCCCATCAACAGTTTTGTTAAATAACTAACTCCGATTAGAGCGAAAACAAAGCTCCTCTCCTTCTAAACAGAGTCGTTTTGCTCTTATGTAATATTTGTATTCTATTAATTAAAACTGTAGTTTCTTTAGAATTAAAAAGATTGTAATTTAAAAAATGCTTTGGTGCTATATTTATATAAAACCAATATAATTATGTTGCCATTACTCAAACGTTTTAAAATACACCATAAAGAAACTTTACATATCGGAGAGAAAATCGACAGGAATGAAAAATCTTTAATTGAGTTGTATGTGATTTAATTGGTGCTATTTTCGAGAACCCACATACCACCAATTCAACTATCAAATCCCCAGCAGTCTGAAGTGTTTCACTAGTTGACAAATAGCTCTGTACGTCCACATTCCCACACTTCCATTTTCATTTGTTTGTTAGTCATGAATTGATTTCTATCCTGCTCGATTGCTGACAACCATACATTACTCAGCAAAAGTCTGTCTCCCTGTCTGTCTGTCTAGCTGATCTATCTGTCTATCTGCCTGTCCGTCCAGCCATCCATCCATCCTTCTATCTATTTACAGCTATATGTAATGGCTATACAACCATTGTGGACCTTGGCAGGTTTTCAGTTTCTTAATCTTATATACATTCGGTAGGATTCCTTGGACGGAGGATCAGCGCGTCGTAAGGCCGCTACCTCGAGTGGGATTCGAGCCCATGATCCCAGTGTTCGAGAGGGCTAAGATGTTTCATGCCTTAGACCGCGTGGCCACTGTAACTGACACCCAGAACAAGTAGAGAAACAAAAATAATTTAATTTTAATTTGAGTTTGAAAGCTTAAATAAGGAAGCTGTATCTTGTAGCTTCTCTGTGAGTGTTGAAGTCGCCTTGCTCTCGCCTCAGGCCGCCTCCAGTGTTGGATCGACTTCTCCGAGCAGTGGCAGTGGCAGCTGTACATGACGCTCGTAGCCGTGACGCTGTTCGTCGTACCGGCCGTCATCATCTCTGCTTGCTACGCCATCATCGTGACGACAATATGGAGCACGAGCAAGCAACTAACGCCGGACCCAAACAGACGACAGTCGCGCAGTGAGTGACCTCAGTTAAATTAAATTTCAACTCCAAATTGAACCCTAGCACAAGAATGTCTTTGTAGGCGACCGGATTAGACATAAAGTTAAGTAATTATTTTGCTTTAGAGGTCGGACTGCGATGTGAATAATTTTGTGAAGAACTTAAATATCAGATAAATGTTAACGGACGGTGTTAACAACATCAGCAGCTGAAATTATAATAAAACAAAGCGATAACTGAATAAGTTTCGAAACATGATGGAGTATAATCAAGCACATCTTCAGCAATCAGTGACTGGACGTTGTCACTGATCAACCAAAATAATATAAATAAAAGAGACAAAAGTTACACAACAGCCAAGTGTGATTTTAACTACAAGTTTTCACACAAAAATTGCTGTTTTATTAATGATCTGTAATAGTGTGTAATATGGTGTCGGGATAGCATAGTCGGCATAGCAACTAGCCACGGGCTGGACAACCAAGGGGTCGGAGTTCAAGTCCCGGTAGAGTCAAGAATTTTCTCCTTTCCAAGACCTCCAGACCGGTTCTGGGGTCCACTCAGCCTCCTATCCAGTGGATAGTAAAGCGGCCAGGGTGTGAAGCTGACCGCTCACCTCCAGCTAGTGCCAAGGTCAAGAAACGTGGATCTATACATCAACTCCCCCATACACCGTCATGGTGGACAGCTTCACCTTTACATTTAATACGTAGTTTGTAATGTTCCTCTTTACCTTTTATTATTTAAAACAAAAGTAACGACGAGATGTATAAACAAGGAGTGGGAATTTATTTGAGGGTTAGTCTTTGTTTTTAGTGGAAAAGGAGAATTTGTGGGGCGAGAAGGCGGGGGAAGCTACGGGCACAAACTCATCTCATACTTCGTACTAGAAAGATCCCGTGATGAAATCAAGGCCCGAAGACCGTCTATTCTGACTGACTTTCTTTGTATAATTTATGTCAGTCCCTTCAGACAAATGCCTAAATAGCACCTCAAATTATGCCACGACCGCCTCTTTCAGCAAACTTTCCAGTTCGTTACTCGCTAATCACTATACAGTTCGATGTTATATAGTCCCGGTGACGGACAACATCTTTAATAGAACTATAACTGAATTAATAAACAATGAGGAATTCTGTTTTCTGGGTTATAACACAGTGTACTCGGTTGAAATTCCACCGATGTTTCAGAAAAAAAAAACGTGTAGACTCCATCTTGCAGGTTTGAGGAGCAAGACAAGTTAGAGCAAGCACGAAGCAGTCAGCAAGCAGTTCTGTTTTTTTTTGTTTGACTTACTTTTCGATGCTAAATATGAAGGTGATATGTTCCTCCGAAACGACGGCGACCATTTCCGTATGAGCGGAAATAATACTCAACCATGAATACTTTTCCTCCGTCGAGAGACCCATTTCCAACAATTGCACAACACAACTTCCCTTTCACTACTGGGAACACGTGCTGCTGGAGCTATGCCCCGTCGGCAACGCACATGCGCTTTCGAGATGCGCGAGTTTAAGTACAGCATTCTTTGACGCATACTGTATTTTAAGCCATACGGTTATGGCTCTGATTATCAGATATGGATTTATGTCCCGAAAACACTGTAGCTAGTAAGCTTCAAGAAATTAAGAAGTCTCATCAAAACATGTAGTATTTATGACAATGGAGAAGATTCATACTCCAACAGAAAATGAATGAATTCTCACGATTCCAACGTAGTTTATCGAAACAGATTCTGAACTTGCCCTTACCCTCAAGATTAGCAAGGCAGACAATATTTCCAGAATCCTAAAACTCTGGATCAGCAATTTATAGAGCCAAAATACATAGCGTATAATAAGAAAGTACTTTCTGAAATTCTGCTTCGTTGTGTGTGTTAAAATAAAACAATTTTGAAATTCGTCGCAACATCATGAGTATCACAGTTATCAACGCATGCATATGCGTTCTATGACTTCTTTGGAGGAGCTGTTTTCCCGTGTTTCTTATTAATTTTCATTTGAGACATTATGCTATAAGCCAGAAGGTCGCGAGATTGAATCCCCCCGAATTCACTGGATTTCTCAATTGACTCAATCCTTTCACTATGGCCCTGGGGTCGACTCAGCATCTAATACAAACAAGTATCAGCAATTTTCCTGGGAGCAGTGGGCGGCCGGCGCGTGAGGCTGACCTCACCACCATATGTGAGCCGATTGTCTATAGAAACCATGAGATCCTAGACGTCTCACAAACCTATGGGCCTCCAAAGCCTGTTACAGAGGGATAATTTTACCTTTTTATAATTATAAGTAAAAGAAATTCTAGACATTCTTTTTAACATCAGATCTCTTCGAAGCAACTGTTTCTCAGAAAGAAAGTTCTCATATTAAGCAACTTCAATACACTGCGAATGATGTGCAGATTGGTTAGCGAAGACTGCCTCTGATCAACATAATGCGATGTCAGAGTGGTCCATACTGTGTAATCCTACATACAGATATTTAAAAACTAATACACTTCCCTGAATTCCGGAAAACTGGATTTATAACTACCCCATGCATAAGGTCAAAGGGGCTTCGGAGATTGGATTCGTTTACTCTGAATTTCTATCTGTGAGGGCTAAAGTATGGTCCCTCAGTGCAAGGACGGACCAGATTGGTCTGCGATAAGAGACCTTCCCGCATAAATTCACCGAGCCGGAAAATTAGAAACACAGTCTGTAATCAGTAGAATTTTGCTAACAGAGTTACACATGATTTGTAGTTAGAGATTGCTGTTAACTTTCAAACACGAAATCCTGTTATATGAAAAAGGAAAGAACGGCATAATACAAGTTTAATTGTCGGCCTATTTGAATCTGTCATTTCTATTACATTTAATTCTATCACCAGCAAAATTTTAGTTGTGTTATAACAAAACTAACATCCTGCAATGAACACTTGCAAAATTCACTATGTTAAGAAAAAGAAGGATATCATTTTTTTAAATAATTAAATGTTGCCACAATTTTCAGCATAGGATTTGCGTGGTTCCATACTTCGAGGGGGATTCGAACTGTCAGCAACCACCTCACTCCACTCCCCTATCTCTCACTAATTGTCCTGCTCATCACACCTCAGCACGAACAGTGCAGAAAACAGTCTCTATATTGCTGTTCAATTGTTGCTTAGCGGACCGCGCAGAAAACATAATTCTTTTTTGTTGTTTGTGGATCGCTGGCTATCAACGGCCACACTATAGTCCCTTATCTCGCGGTCGCCGCCTAGCAACGGTTCTACATGCCACAATATTTCCATTCAGTGTGTTCATTCCTGTCAGAGAAAAATAAATATAAAACAAAGGAAACACTCCAAACACTGAAAGAAGGTGGAATGGTAGCACTAATCTGTAAACACTTATATGATACGAAAGTCAAATTTTCCAGAAATAAGGAAGCATTAAAATCGAACCAGGACTTAAGAAGTTGTAATGGAACAAGTGCCCAAACAGCCCTCAAACAAAACGACACGCTACGTTTAAACAATCCCAAAAGCGACATGAGCCATTAAAAGGCTTTAATTCAGCTGTCAGTAGTGTTATATCCAATTACTGCTAAGTGGCTATGTGGGGCTTTCTTGTCACTGTCTGAAGTCCGTAAGAGAACATCGTCATATCGATTCTATAGCTGGTAAACCTGACAAATTACTCAAGCTTGTATAAAGTGACAATGTTTGAAAGTCTCTTGCCTGAAGAACAGAACTCTTTTCATTTCCATCAATATACTGAAGAAAAATTAACCTCATTCAAAACGTCGATACAAGTTCTTTAGTTTTATACTTGATATTAAAATGTTTTCGACACGTCTTCTATCAATTTATTATAGTCATGACACGTACAAAAACATGCACAAAGAGTATTTGTCTTTTGTAATTATAGTTTTAAACCCCGTTCTTATTCTTTTCACTGTAACTAACGAAATCCACGGGACAAGCTGAAAGTCGCCTAATTAATTAAGAAATTCCCCGAAGGTTTATTAATATATTTACATATCACTGCCTCTGAAATCTATGCTAAACTAGTTGAATTCTGTCCACACCTTAACAACCTGTCCTTTTCAGATTCCTTCTAATATTATCCTCCTGCCTATGCCTAGGTCTCTCTGCAGGTTTCCAAACTACTCTAATAGTTCGTACATATTTTTCATCCCCTCCACATGCCAGGTACATGCCCAGCCGTCCCCTTTAATCTGATCGCCCTGATATCGGAACAGGAATGCAAAATTTGGAGCTGCTCATTATACAATCTTCACCGTCCTGTTCTCATTTCCTCTGCCTTCAGTCCAAATATTCTCTTTAGAATTTTTATTGCAGTGCGATAACCAGTGTACGTAAATGTCATGAATCATTAACTGTACAACAGTCACATAAATTTTATTTCTTTAACATATAATCAGTTCCACAATGTCTCGGTCACACGATCATCATCAGGTGAGCCTTACACATAAATTATACAGACACTACTAAAATCGTAAGAAGAGTAAAATATTGTGGCTCATTTGCGCCATGAAAAACAGTTGAGCAGGAGAATTAAAGGTTTCTAATACACCCTCGCAACAATAGAACAGCGGGGTTATGCAATCCGTTTCTAGGCAACGGCTCTGTAAACATACTTCCGCCTAAGCAGTTACGTCACACAACAGTGGCTAGACACCACGTGACGTGTTAGTGTAGGTCCGCGCCGAAGGTTTATACGGGACAACAAAGATCGTTTGCAGGCAGTCGTAAGCTGGAGGAGTGAGTAATAGACGGATTTCCCTTGAGTTTCGAAGTTCCAAGGGAACAGCAGTGTGGCCAAAAGAAGAATTAGAAGACTTAGTGTGTGACGTTACATGTGTTGTAGTACGTCGCTATTCGGAGTGTGTAATTTAGTGAGAGTTTTATAGTTCGTGTGTTATAGATCCTTTGCCAGGAAACGGATAGTGAAAAGGAGTCGAAATAGACTGAGATGATCAGTGTGGAGTGATTGTAAATTGTGTAAATTAGCAATAGTGTAAG